GCAATTTCTCCAGATTACCTCAACAAATTAACAGATAGAATGCCAAAGGTCTGCAATGCTGTAATTGCTGCAAATGGAGGATTCTTTGATGAAAGCAAAGTTTGATGTAAAATAAAATTATTTCAAAAACAAATCATTATTTGTAACCTTGGCAATGTCTTGACTATTTTCTATTTATTTCACAACATATGGTGGTGAATAAGTGTGACTTTTCAGGAAAACAGAAAATTGATTGGGTGACCCCAAACTTTTGAACAGCAGTGTATGTAGCTGTATATAATAATCCTGCTTTAAATAAAAAAAGACTTCAGCTGTCATATGTGGACGCACTGTATATACTGTATATTCCCCATACACCTTTTTCTTTCTCTGATACCTTCTTCTTTTATTTTATTTCTATTTGAGCTGATGTAACGAGTACATTTCTCCACTGTGAGATCAATAAAGTAAATAAATAAATAAAACCAAACAGCTAGAGTAATACTGAGATTAGTCTTTTTATTTATCTACTGTTCAAGGCAACTGGTCGCACTGAGTTTTAGCTTTTTGTTATTTATTTGTTAAACTAATTTATAAATCAATACTATTCCTCTCTATTTGTTCCTTATGTCCCTAGCGGAGCACTTCGCTCTCAATCTGCAGGTTTACTAGTGGTTCCTAGAATTTCTAAAAGTAGATTGGGAGGCAGATCTTTTAGTTATCAGGCTCCTCTCCTGTGGAACCAACTACCAGTTTTGGTCCGTGAGGCAGACACCCTGTCTACTTTTAAGGCTAGGCTTAAAACTTTCATTTTTGATAAAGCTTATAATTAGAGTGGCTCAGGTTATGCTGAGCTATCTCTCTGTAGTTATGCTGCTATAGGCTTAGACTACTGGAGGAGATAGGGACCCCTATTTCATCATTTTGCTTTATTCTATCTCTATTCTCCCACTCTGCAGAATCTGTTAGTTCAATGTCAAACGTTCTGCTCTCTCTGCTTTTTCTCATCCTGGGGAGAAATATCATCTGTACTGCTTCCATCAACACCTTTGTTTATAGATGTTGAGATCTGCTGTTTTCCAGTGTAGTCCTGTTTCTCTGACCGTGACTGGCTGGATGTGCTCTCTTCATCCTCTGACATGGGAGCTGGCTCAGAGCTAGTCTGCCTGGCTGTGCGTTTCCTGGACAGGGCCGCCTTTTACGGCTGCTTTTTATATCTGTGCTTCTGTCTCCTTGAACACAAGTCAGCTTCAGCAGATGGCCGCTCACACTGAGCCTTGTTCTGCTGGAGGTTTCTTCCTGTTAAAGGGAGTTTTTCCTCTCCACTACTAGCATGCTCAGTGTAAGGGATTGCGTTTGAGTCAATGAATCGATGCAATCAACTGGTTTTCCTTAGATAGAAAACTTTGAATCAATTTGACTGCATGATCTGGTGAACTGTAAAGTGCCTTGAGATGACATGTGTTGTGAATTGAATCTACATAAATAAAATGATTTTTTTTCCTAAACAGACCTTATTTTGCGCTGATTTAAAAAATAAATCCCCACTATATCCTCCAACACTACCTAATACAACTGCCACAGTCAGTCACCTGTTTCTGCTGATGTCAAAGAGGTAGATGTTGCCATGGTGATCTCCTGCCAGGAAGCAGTCCCCTGTGGTGTCGAAGGCCACATGTAAGAAACGCACCGTCTTGGTCTGCTGGGCAGTGCGGACCACTGTCACCAATACTCTGAGAAGGGCAGGAGACATACAACAAACGGGAAAATATTTTTCTAATTATTCTAAATTAACACTTCGACATCTTTGGCTAAATATCTCTGTAAGTCAGTAGCACCTGATTACTCTAAGGCAAACAGGTGTGTTCAAGGGGCATCCTTTGAGTAAAACCTAACCTACCTTCTGCCAGGTGTTGGTTTTTGAAGCCAAATCTTTCCTTCTTCTTTGTTTCCTATATCCGTCACCTCCATTTAAAAAGAAACGCGTCTACCGATGATTAATAACGACGGGAATAAACTCATCTCCTGCTGTACCTCAGCTCAGGATGAGGGAACCAACGGAGGCGACCGACACAGAGGAGGAGCAAACAGCGCGAAATTTAAAAAGAAGATCTACATTTGAGAAAAAACGCCGTAAGAATATATAAAAATAACTAAATAAACATCTCCAGGTAGCAGAAAGCAAAATTAGCTTTAACTACTGAGCTAATAAATCCTAAACTGCAGCTATTTAGACAGCTTTCCTGGTTGTTATGAAGAAGACGGCTTTTCGTCGCTTATAGGTGACGTAATCGGTGGCGACTGTGAATTGTGGGAGTTGTAGTTCAACGGTTCGTCTTGTAGCTCTAACCTTTTCATAACACGAGGACCCAAATTTGGGTCCTCGGCACCATAGATATCCATAATGGATATCTATGCTCGGCACTCGCTCCAAGATGGTTTTTATACCTGTAACATATTCTCTGGGGTCTTGCCTTTATTTTGATACTAAAACAATTAAAATAAACTCTGTAGTTCTTGAGATATATTCAATTCATTTTGGGCATGTTATTTTCAAGCATATTTCTCGAAAACAGGCCAAGAGGCTAAACATGGACCAAAATGCTTTTAACATTTCTTTGGTATCTATTGAAGTAAAACCTGATTACTTTTGTTCTCTATTTGTAGGAAAACATTCGAAATTGCTCATTCGAATTTCCTTATAATGATATATTTTTTATTATTATTTCTTCATTGTCTTGTCTGGCAATGTGGCAATAAGAATAATTGTCTTGATGCCAAAAATATGTCAGAACTGACATTTTAATCTAATTAGGACAATTCTTCTGTCTGAATATACAGTTATAATCTTAATTTTGTATGTGGCAAAGATTTGGAAATGGAATGAGAGTGGAGTCCTTCAGCTAAGAACGAAGTGTAATATTTTGATAAGGCTGGAGACATGGATGTCTAATTATCTGCTAATGTGTATGATGTAAAATATGATGATGTGGCAGACAAGATATGTATAAAATGCCTTTTTAACTTTTAATTGGGGCCACTTCCTAAGAGGTGAGCCCAGAGTTGAGCAGCTGCCATTCTGTAACCCTAAACAATTTCTCTGATGTGAGAAAGATTACAATTTCTATCAAAATCTGTTGTCATGTCTCCTGGTTATTTAATACATAGAAGTTATAAAAAGTTATTTTAAAAGTTTTTTCAGAGTGATCTCTTTGCAGGAAATACCGGAAAGATAGAGCATCAGGGTGCAGACACAGAGCCTATCTTTAACATTACTGTTAACCAAAGTGTCTGTAATTTGTTTAAATACTGACTACTTTCCATAGTTGTAAGTAAGGGGGAACGAACGCTGCTCAGGCAGAATGTGGCTGAATACTGTGCCATAAGGGCTGTATGATGAACTGTTCTCTCTTTGCTAAAGATATGACGAATACAGTGCCGACTGAGTAAAATCCATCAATCTACGTTTATTTAACTAGGGTGAATAGTTGAATACTTTTTTCCCACTACAGAGAGGTACTAAGGACAACACATGCTATCTCGAACCGTACCTTCAGATCAGCGAAGAAGAACCACAGCCGGAAGATCCAGGATCTCTTCCAAGATGCCAACAACACCAGGAGGAGGTGGCAAGGCATATGGGTGATCACAGACTACAGTATAACACATCTTCGCCCCCAGCAGATGTAGCTAATGCTGACTTCCTAAATTAACTAAACAACTTCTTTGGAAGGTTTGCAGCAATAAACAGCACTTCAGCAATGAAAGCCATTCCACACCAGGGAGAGGAGGCACTCAGCCTTGACATAGCTGAAGTGAGAAAAACTCTGAAGAGAGTCAACCCAAGAAAGGCCACACACCCGATAACATACCTAGACACCCCTCTGCAATAGAGTTCCTCACAAACAGACCTCAGTCAATCCGGGTTGAACAGAACACCTCTAATGTCATCAATAGTGCACCAATGCCATTTTTTGGCCCAGATACTGATACCGGATACCTGGCTGTGCAGTATTGGCAGATACTGATACCAATACCATACCAATACTATCTATTTGAAACTGCTGTGTGTATATATGAAGAACTACATACTACTTGGATGTAAAATAATTGCCATCATGGCTTTATCAAGCTGTTGCCTACCTTTGTGAAGCAGTAAAAAGACTAATACAAAGTGACTCCAGTAGAACTTTTTATTGCCTACCTGGAATAGGTGACAATATTTGAATAAACTTTTGGGACTCAAAATAGTATCAGTTTCCTATTTGTTGTTACTTGCCGATACCAATACCACCATTTTAATATAGTATCAGGACCCCTGGTTTTGGTGCAACACTGGTCATCACCCTAAGCATAGGTTCCCCTCAGGGCTGTGTCCTGAGCCCCCTTCTGTTCACCCAGATGACACACTACTGCGTCCCCAGGTTCACCACCAATCACATAGTGAGGTTTGCAGACGACACCTCGGTGGTGGGCCACATCAGAGTTGACACGACCAGGACTACAGAGAGGAGGTGGAACAGCTGGTGGGCTGGTTCAGAGATAACAGCCTGATCCTGAATGTGGAGAAGATACAGGAGATCATTGTTGAATTCAGGAAGAACGGCCTAAATACGCTACACTGCTCATCAACAACTCAGTAGTAGAGGTGGTCAGCAGCACCAAATTCCTGGGGGGTGCACATCATAGATAACCTCACATGGACTGTAAACACCACCTCACTGGTCAAAGGGGCACAATAGCACTTGTACTTCCTGCAGAGGATGAGGTGAGCCCACCTGCCCCCACCCATCCTTACGACCTTCTACAGAAGCACCATAGGGTGTTCACATCAGCTGTCTCATTGTGTGGTGTGCAAAGATAACAGCCTGATACTGAACGTGGAGAAGATGAAGGTGAGAGGCTTCGCAGCATTAGATGCAGGCCCAGCAGATTCTGAAACAGCTTCTTCCCCACTTCCATCAGACAGCTGAACTGTCGTGAAAGCTCTTTATTATGTCACTAACTCAGCATTACACTTGTTATATAGCCACACGTGGGACCAAATAATTTGGTGAATCACACACCAAACCCCTCCTCCTCCCTTTTGTAAGTAAAACAAAGGACTGGCTCCTGGAAGCTTCCAGCTTTTGCACAGTCAACTCACACATGGACCAATGAGTTGAAAGGAAAACTGTGAGCCCAACATGAAATCCCTCCACGTCATTCAGGATTTAAAACCCAAGGGGGAAGGAAGTTAATCTAATTTTCCCTGGGCTTGATACTTTTCACGTGAACATTTTCAGGTGGAATGCCCCTGAATGCAATCTGAGAGTAGCTTTCGTTTTCCTGCGTCAGAAGTTACGGACTGGAGTGTATCATCGTGTCTAGTGCCCGTCAAGTTGGGTGAGAAAGAACGGAGACTCCGTCTGTGCGCCGTGTGTGTGGAATTCTCTCTGAAACATTGAAGCTCATTGAAAAGGTGTGTCTGTGAGGGGACGCCCTCGGTAAGTAACTTCCTTGATTTAAAAGCCCATCAGATTCCGCTGCTGTTGCATCAGACTGATCTAAGATTTTTCCGAGATTCGCCCTGGTTTGAGATGGACACTACTACACTAGTATCTATACTGGTTATAAGAGCTCTGGTTTAATGGTTGAAATAAGTGGGATGTGAATGGCTGCAGGAGATTTACTTTCTTCTTCTTTTTCCTTCTATCTTGCTTCTCTTATCTTCATGGCCTAAGGATAGTGTATTGCGAATCTGCCTATGTTTAACTGTCTATGATTTCGTGGTTGTGGGTTGCCATCTATTGTCTGAGTTTGTAGTTGACTAAGTTAACAAGCTAAGATACCACCATCTGTATAGTTCAACCCTCCCTTTTGGGGTCACATGATAGGAGCATCCATTTTGGTGACTCATTATCTCCAGTAGACTCCAGTGTCCCCCCCCCCTGATCACATGAAAAAGGGGGGTCACTCATACACCCTGCCTGCCCCCTTTAGGTTGAGCAAAACCCCCTTGTTGCTGCTAGATTAAAGGACTTGAGGTTGGCTGTAACATGCTGCTGTGTTGTTAATGCATTTGTAACCATTTATCATTCAAGCTGAATGTATTTATGTTGTTTTAACTGCACTATTTTTTTTTTTTTCATTATATCTGCTGCTATTCCAAGCGGACACTATTAAATGTATTAACATCGGGCTTATCTTGGACAGTCTCAGAAGTCAATGGACTCATGAT